GTGTAATTTTGCGATAATCGGGAGGATACCTGTGTATATCAGTCCAGGGGTCATTGTGCTAAACGAGTTACCAATTTTACTAGCGAACTTGGCCAGTTTTCGGATTTTTTGACGCGAAATTGTTGCCAGTTGCACAAACTCTTTGGAATGCTGTAGTCTTAAAGGTAGCGTCCAGGCAAATCCGGGCCTATGAAGATCTCACTTGGAGGGATCTAGGAGCCTCTAAATAAAACACTGCCCAAGCGGCAGCTCAAATGGTGAGCTCACAGTTGAGATATTCGCCTCTAAACTGGACTCCGAGATCGTATTCGCATGGATTCATGGCGCGACACGCGTGGTCCTGGCGCGAAACTGATGTATAGCGCCATGAATCCATGCGAATACGATCCTGGGGTCCAGCTTGGAGGCGAATATCTCAGCTTGGGGCACTACCTGAGCTGCCGCTTGGGCAGAGGCTTAGTTAGGGCCCCAAGATTGCTATCCACGTGAGAGCAGCCCCATATGCCCAGATTTGCCTGGACGCTGCCTTTAAGGCGGCGAAGAGTAAGTATAAGAATTAAAGCGCTGTATCGAGGTATCATGGAGAGAGAATGTGACAGAAAAGCTCTGATAAAATGATGCGCACATTTTTGGGCTGTAGCTCGTTTGCATTATCATTTGTTGTCTGTATAATAAATTGTTATACAAACAATCCCTATTGCACATGAGGTAAACATTTGATATTTTGGAGTACCTTCATCAACACAACCTTCAGCACTGCTCTTCGCGGTCGCTTCCTCGAATTCGATGTTTTCTTGTTCTTTGAATTGTCCTCGCGGATAGCCCAGATGGAGAAGTCATCTAGGGTGTGGTTCATGATTATCAAGCACTCCATATTTGGGAGTTTTGAACTCTCTATGAATTTCGTGACAGACAGACAAACACACACACGCACAAAAAGGCAGACGTTTAGCGCTTTATTATAAGTCAAGATGTTATGGATGACTAGCGGCCCTAAGGGCCGCTTGCAAGTATGCTAGGGTACATATAGTCATCACCACAATAACCTCTACGTTTTATACCTTTTTAGGGTTCTGGGCAACTGAAACCGAGTAATAAATGACTTTTGACTCTTCTGATTGTGAGAATCCTCTTTGCTGATTATTCGATACCTTTTGACTCTCTTCTAAGAATTTTCTTTGGGTCAAATGTTTGCACCAATCTCAACAGAGTCACCAAGCAGTCGACTCTCAAAGCGACGATGTAGTCTACACTCAGCTAAACACTCAGAAAGTACCTCAGTTCCCGAAAAATTCCGGCAGCGAAAACAAGCATTGTATTCTCATGCCTTATGCGTCGCCTATAAACCACTTTTTGCAAATACGTACTGCTCCGCGCCTTCAGAGCGGTATATGTGAGAGCTGCCCCACGATCCTGGAGAAGAATACTTCTAGAAAAACTTTCCTACAGGCCTCCTACAGAGCGGTAATCTGAGAAAATAGTGCCCTTCATACCCCTACAAATGATATCGTATTCTGGGATAAGTCTGCCATACAATCCCCCCCTACAAATCGAATATTGCGGGGAAGCCTTTAAGCTGCTTACAGACGGAAAAATTGCCCTATGGTCCGCCCGCGGACGGTAATTAGTCATTAGAAGGAAATGCCCTATGGGCCGCTTACAGGGCCCGGCACGAGTCCGTTTCTAAGCTTTTTGAAAACGAAGTCCCCCCTGACTTTCGAAAATTTTACGAAGTCCCCTTTGACCCTTGCCCCTACCCCCCCCCAACCTTCCACCGAGAAGCAAACAAAAGTTCGTCTCACAATCTATAATCTTTGACAATCTTCGTTACACTGACACTCAATTTCGTTTGACAATCTATACACCGTCAGAAAGCTCAAGGAACGATCAAGCACCGCTCTTATCAGGGATACATGGTATTTTATTTGAAAAGATGCATGTTCTTGCAGGAGATTTCCGAAAAATGAATAAGATTGCCTAACTGTCAAACTGTTTCAAAGAAAAGACTTTGCCAGTAGACGTAGACCGATTCTTTTTTCACCTTTTATCTTCCTTTCAGAAATTAGCTGATGTTGCAGCTAGATGAACTTTCTTGCCTGTGAATTTTGAGAAAGCTAAAAAAGAGACAGTCTATCGACACTCCCGTCGATTATATACGTTCCACTCCGATTGTGTTATTGTCTGGTGAGACATAACGCCTACCCGCATCGAAACACTCTGTTCGACGACCTCTGGTGCAGTATTGCAAAATTTTTCCACATCAAATCTCTGTACCACTTTTCTCCTCCAGTTCACGCCTCGTTCCGTTCAAAATGTAAGCTAACGTCTTTTGCAATTCAGTTAACCTCTTCACTTTTCAAAATCGGAAACATTTGTATAAACCTGGAGGGGGCTCTGCTTCTCCTATAGCGCCTAATTATCAATGCCATTGCAAGCAGTAAGATCACTTAACGCTCTATGTCTGTTGAATGCATTGCTAAGAAAAAAAATTGCTTCGCACAAAAATTTATAGATCGTTTGTTATGTCGTTTACTTCTTTGGCATTACTGTTCAAAGACCGAAGCAGAATCAGAAAAGAAGGTGCGATTTATCCATATAAAATCTACAAGATGACTTCCTCGACAAACCATTATTTGAAACAATTGATAGTCAGCACCTACCAACTTTATTGGCAGAATTCCCTCAAAACAGCATAATAAGTGGCACATGTCCACGAGGAATCTGCCAAACAGGAGGCAACAATCAAAGCTACAATAAATTATTGGAAAACTTCAAATTGTGAAAGCCATACGATAGTTGATGCTACATGCGTGGAGTTACAGAAATTAGTATAAAATTAGATTAGAGAAGGTTACGCTCCCAATTCAGTTTTGCAAGATGCGCAATGAATACCGTTAGAAAAGCATTTCTTAAAACCAATCTTTTTGCACATCAGTTAGTATACGATTACTATAACACAGAATGTAAAGTAGCGGAAGTTTCACAATCAACCCGACAAAGCATGGAAAACGCGTAATATAAGCTAGATGAAGTGTACATAAGGAAGATCTCAAACGAGCACAAACATGGCATTCAGAAGTTATGAGTGGATATGGACTTGATAAGCGCTAACGATGGGGATTTTTATTTCTTGTTGCTTTTTGGATCTCTGCTTCTGCCACTTAGCTCTTGCCATTTCCTTAGTCGATCTGGAGAAAAAAACGAAAAGATCCAGCTAAGTATTTTTTTTGAGAAATCATCAATATTCAAACGTATTACCTCTAAGTAGTGATATTATATCTCAAGAATTCTCCAGAAAAACCAGCAGAATAGGATAGACTCACTTGAAAAAAGGCTCCCAGCCACAAAAATACTTGCCCGTGCATTCCGACAGTCCGCCGAACATCTTATTGCTGAAATCAACAGCGTCGCGCACATATTCCCTGACCGTAATCCACAGTGCCTGAACGAGTGATCAAATTGCTCAGTTCTTTCTATAAAGGGCTATAAAGGGCTTCTTCTTCAACAGCTGTGAGACTCGATACGATTTTCATCATGTCAAATGTTTTATCGGTTCATATACCATACAATCTACAACTAACATTTCTACCCCAAACAAGCGAAATATCAGCATCCTATACCATACCCGGACTAATCATGGCAATCTTGAGAAAAACAATTAATTCGCATGGCCTCAACTTTCCCAATTGAGTAAAAGTAGAATGCACTTACCATACAAGTGCGCGCTTTTTCTTCAATAAACGAATCCCGTAACACCAATGTTAGCTTAGAGGGTTCGGAATGGCACATGTTGGCTATTCTTGGCCGTGGCTCCAATACTTTCCTAAAAAATAATAGATAGCAATAAAAACTGAAGTACGAAAATCAAATCACAACGTCTTTGCAACAACATGACGTAGGTACTTTACCTTCAAAGGAAGCAGGACTTCTTGATTTCTGCACCTTCCATTCGGGTTTTTCTATCAAAATTACCGGTATCCTAACCACGTTGGTTACCCGCTAAATCTATCAGCGAAAACTTTCCCCATAATTTATTGCCCCTAAAAATGTGTAAATAAGGGGTAACTACAGCTGATTTGCGTAACCATACCTCCTCGAAACTATTTGAAAGACGGCATGGGATCTGCTCGAATTGGAATTTGCAGATGTTGCTCCTGCAGTGCGCATATCCGTGCCCTGCCGGATCAAATCAAGAACCTAAGCACAATGTGGTAATAAAAAAGCTGTTCAAGTTCAGTGAGTTAAGAAAGATTTTCAAAAAAAAAACAATCAAAGGAGAACTCACATCGTTTTCGCACTTCACAGGAACCTCTTTCAGTCCAACAACTTGTACTTCTTTTTTGCCATCTTCAAGAACTCGCAATAAAGCTTTTTGCTTCAGAAGGTCAAACACCTGCAATGGCAGCTTATAGGCAAAGCAGGGCTCTCAGGTCTTTGGAAAAAGCAGACCAACCTTTCCGCCATAAATCTCAAAGAAGCTGCAGCTGACAGAAAGATTCAGCTTCTTGTACTGCTGTGAGTGTTGCATTTTGAATACGTCGCTGCAGTCATGGCATAAATTCCACTAGCACACTTCTTGAAAAAAAAAACAATCGTAAAATTATCTCAAAAGGATACCGAGAGTAAAGCTCACCTGGTTCTTACCCGTAAAATCACCACTCATAGTATGCGTTTTGATTGCCATACAGAATAGCGTCCACATACATGTCTGCAAGGAGAAGAATTCGCCATAAGGTGAGTCAATGAATTTATCATTGCGAAGTTTGAAGAAAGAACCTTATGGCTTGAAAATGTTGACCAACCTGCCAGTTTAACTTTTTCAAGCTGAGCATTTGATCTGCAAACATTGCGCTGACGTTCCAGACACTGGGATTGAGGTTTGAATATCTGCAACGGAGTTTCATGGAATGTGAGAAGTTAATAAACTGATGAGAACAAGTAAAAAGACCTTACCTATCAACAATAGCTCTCCACTTGAGCATCAAGTTCATTCTGCCATCTCATGAGGTGTTTGTCAATACCATCAACGAAAATTTGCGAACAGTGACTCTAAAGAATCCCAAAATTGGTCAAAGTTTAGAAAAGAAACGTGAACCTTCAAAATGAAGAAAAACAAAATAACTGAAAAACCACTCACGTCTTGTCGTAATCGATGTTGAGGAAAGCCTTAGGATGCTTGTAAAGCGGATTTCCCAAGAAACCAGGCAGCTCCTTATATCCAAACTCTTTCTCATCAGGATACTCATGTGCATCGAAGTAGAAATCGAAGTCATTGACACCGACTCCCCAATAGTAATCGGTATAATCTCGCAGCCGAAACATGGTGAAGTTAGAGCCTGAAACCGATACCTAGTATTGTTCGAAATAGCATAAGTGCAACATATCTTACATCGATAAGAACGAAGAACCAAGAACGAGTACGAACGAAAGTAGAACGACAAGAAAAGACGAAGGAAACAGTGTTTGCAGCAAAGCGACCAAGCGATTAAAATTTCGCTCACCGCAACGCGGAATGGGCGATGGAGCACGACAACTAACATGGCGCTTTTCAAAAAAAGAGTATAAAAAAGGACGGACAGGGGGTAATATAAAAATGTTTTTTTGCTCAGGGATAGATTTTTGACCGGGGCATTCGTCCATGCTGGAAAGATCCGAAACTTATGTGAAGTGACGAAAATATATGCTCCAGACGATCTCAGATCGTCTGGTGGCCGTCTGGAGACGATCTAATTTTGGAAAACGTATTTCTTCACATAAGTTTTCAAATATTTTTACATAGTTCTTCCGCAAATAATTTTCTATACACACAGTTCAATTTTGGTGTCATATGATTCTGTGTGCGCTGTAAACAAGCAATTTGTTGATTTTAGCCCTGCTTTCAAATCGCGCGCACTTTTCGCCAAACACAATAGAGCATGTCAACCGTGTCATAACCTGTCCGAAAAGCTTCTATTCGACTAAACGGCGCTTATTCTTGGTGTTCGGTTCCGACTCGTCAAAAACGAGATCCCCTTTGCTTTTTGATCCAAAAACGAAGTCCAGCCTGCTTCTAGACGATCTGTGCCGGGCCCTGGCCGCTTACAGACCCTTATTTTGACAAGACTGCACTGTGGGCTGCTTACAGACTGGTATTTTTCAAAAAAGATATTTTCAAAAAAGAACTGCTCATGTAGAATGATCCTACGAGCCGCTTACGGACCTTTTCCAGAAAAGGTTGCCCTATGGACGCACACAGACCGATATCAAGAAGAAATTGTCTTTCAAGTCTTCAAACCAATTTTCAAAAATTGTCCTAAGAGCCGCTCAAAGTCTATTATTGCAAGAAGCGTCGCTCGCCCTATGTGTAGCACAAGCTGGTATTTTGAAATAACAGAAGCTATGAGCTGCTTGAGACATATATTTACGTAACTACCATCGATATATTAGAGAATATAACTGCCCTATGCGCCGCTGCAGAGTGGTAGTTATAGAAAGAAAATGCCCTATAGGCCACTAACAGACCGATGTTTTGAGCAGTTACTCACAGTCCCTTACAGACCGAGGTTTACAAGAACCCCCTTCCCCTTCCTCCGTCGTTCCTCTCCCAACAAACCCTACTGGAGAAAGAACCGTGCTGAGACTGCCCTAACAAGGGAAGTGTCAGAAGTCGCAGTGGCCTTTTGACATGGGATGGGTACCATCTTAAGCAGCTTTAAATGCTGATTCCAAAACAAACTTTCTTAGCTGCAGAACTGATCTGGGTCGCGAGTTATGGGCATTTTATACATTAAATTTTACACTGTTTGAAGTACTCCGTGATCACGGGAACCTTTCAGTTGCTTGTTTAAGCACCACAGCATGACTTTGACGAAGGCGTAGGATTACGTTAAACATTGTTGGACTGTTTCATCTATGTTTGAGCCCGAAAAAATGTTCGCTTTAATTTTTGGCTATTCTCAGCGTTGTAAATTTCCCGCAAATTAAATTCAATAACTCTCGTCCTAGATTAGTTCTGCAGCTAAGAAAGGCTGCTTTGGAATCAGCATTTCAAGCTGCTTCAGATGATACTTATTTCATGTCAAAAGGCCATTGCGAGTTCTGACACTTCCCTTGTAAGACCGATATTCTGAGAAAAGGCTATCTTACCCTCCCCCCTCTTCCTTCCCTCACAGACCGATAATTACAGGAAGCCCTGCCCTATGGGGGATCAGCAGATATTCCAGATTACAGATCTACAGCCCCTACAAACTGTATTGCCCTACGAGGCACTCACGTTCTGCTCTATGGACAGCCAAAGACCGAAGTCTTGAGAAAGAAGCTGCCAGCTACTTATTGTTAGAGGCCTACACAATGGTATTTTGAAGAGGAACCGCCCTTGGAACCTATATACAACCAATATTTTGTGATAAAACTGCTCTATGGGCCACCTACAAACCATAATTTGAGAAAGGACTGCTTTATGGGATTTTACAGACCAATATTTCAAGAAAAATTGCTCTATGTACCGCTGCAAATCGATAATTTCTAAAAGGAGCGGCCGAGCGGGGAGGGGGGGGGGCTTGCCAACGATAATTTGTAAAGAATCGCTCCATGGGCCTCTTGCAGCATTTTGGGAAATAACCGCTCTATGGGCGCTCACAGACCAATATATCAAGAATTGAGCTGGAAACCCTCAAACCAATATCTCGAAAAAAATTAGTACTCTGCGTTGATACCACTGCTT